ATTGGGACTCTGGACCAATCTGTGTATTTTGCTGGGCCTTGGACTGCTACGTTGTTTACCAAAGCGAGGTGATCTTTTTCTGCTTTTTGAAAACTCCATTGACGATCCTCCGGCAATTGGCGATATCATGCCCTATTGTTGGTAGCGGTCCATGGGGGTTGACTTGGTTTTCTAGGTTTTGCTCGCGTTTTTTGGTGTTGGGAGTTGGTTGTGAGTAGGCGGCGCGGAGGCGCTTGTTGAATGTGTTGTTTGTTGCGGCGAGGCTCGAACTTCTTTGTGGTTTTGTGGCGGTGGGTTTGTTTCGAGGTAGGTTATGTGGGGAGGATTTGGGTTTATGTAGGTCAGGCTTGCCTCCGACCTGTAGTTGCCCACCGGATGTTTGCTTCTGAAGGCGTTAGCCGCCATGTTGGTAGGAAGTTTGGGTAATAGGCGGAGGCCGCAGTGTGGAGGATGTATATTTGGTTTGCGTTTAGCTACCGGATACATTGGGCGCATCTTCTGCTGGTGGCGCCATGTAGGTGGTGTTGACCTCTCTTGCGCTCTCTTTGTGTAGTCGGAGGTCAGCGATCCGCTTGTTCTTCATTCTTTTCTGTGGTCGCTTTTGTCTCCTGGACAATCTTTGGTGTTGTGCCTGCGCTTTTGCAAAGGAAAAACGCATAATATGGCTGCGTTGTTTACTTTCGCTTGTTTTTGTCCCGCTTTTTGCCTTGGTAGCCTTGCCGACCTTGGTTCCCGGTTTGGGTCTCTGGTCCTGCTTTGGCGTTGCCAATTGCCCTTGTTCAGTTGAGGTTGACCCTCAATGTTGAGCACTTGCCTCTGGCCTGTTTTCTGATTTGATGCGTTCTGGTTCGGGTAGCTCTTCCGGGAGTTTTTACCGCTTTGCTTTCTTTGTCTGTTTTGACCTCTCCTCCAAATTTTTTCCGGAGGTCATTATCTCGATCTGCAGTATTTCTCGAACTCGTCATACAACTGTTGTATGGAATTTGGTTTCTTTCTTGCTAGGTGTGCTACGAATGGCCCGATTCGGAGGCCTTTGATCGCTGCTTCAATGGCGATCTCATCTGGGATGTCTGGTGCCTTCGCCTTTACTTGCACGAATTTCCAGAAGTAGTCATGTAGTGTCTCTCCCTGCATTTGCTTGCACTGGAACAGATCCGTGGATGTCAGCGATTGTGCGGCTAGTCCTTTGAAGTTTGCCAATATTTTGTCCCGAAGGTTTTCCCAAGAATAGACCGTGCTTGGTTTGAGCATGGAATACCAAGCCAACGCGTCGCCTTCGGCAACAATGATAAAAGACTTTGCCAGGACGGCGTCGTCTCCACCGGCGGAGGCTACTGCTGCCTCGTAACTCATGATGAACTGATGGGGGTCTATCTTTCCGTTGAATTTTGGCAGTGTTATTGGCTTGTACGCTGTTGGCCATGGCGACTGTTGTATACCTTCTAAAAGTGGGGACTTGGGATCGGTAGGCCTCCACGTCACTTGAGCTGGCATTGTGGGCTGGTTGATCACTGGCGGAGGCCCCTGTGGTATGGTTGCTGTTGCTGCGGAGGTTGAGGCTGGTACTGCATGCTGCATACTCAGCATGTAGGACTGCCAACTGCTGTCTAATTTCTGCTGCTTGTGCTGATGCTTGAGTAGCTTGCTGATTGGCTGCAAACGCTGCTGCCATTATGTCTCTCTCTTGTTGCGCTCTCTGCAACTGCGCCTGCAACGGTTGCAGTTCTTGGTCGAGTGTTGCACCTGGATTTGGTTGGGCCTCCGGACCTTGGATTTCTGGATCTTGGGGCTCCGGTGGTTGACCCTGGGCATCTGCTCTGGTACTGACCTCCGCTGGCGAAGTTGCGTAGGTGCTACGAGTGGTGCGCCTAGGCCTTCCTTTCTGACCCGTGGTCGCTGCTGCTCTGGTGGTGGTTTTTCTTTTCCCTGCCATCTTTGGTTTGCCTTGGCCAACCACGGTGGGTGCCAATGTTGAAACTTGCGGTTTCAGACAGTGGATCAGGGCCCTCCGCCTGGTGGGCGGTTGTCCTCAAAGCGGAGGCTCGGTTACTGAGAATGATCATTTGGGCGTGTAAGGGAAAGGGCACAGAATGCTAGGGTTTCATTAATGCATTTTCCAACCACCCCCTGCACGGTTACAAGTGTTCCCTATTTATAGGGCTCAACTACTTCATGACATAATTTATTACAATGCCTCTTAACTGCTACAGTACATTCATGGAATATTCCGCCGCTAGCCTCTCGTTTGCGGGGCAATCCTGCCATACCGTCTCCGAGTAATGGGCCTCCATGAGCAGTCGGCCCACCATGCTTCGGTCTTTGGCCCAAAGGCCTGGGTCCCCGGTGCTGGCCTCCATCTCCAGGGGCGCCACACTATCTTGGCGGTTCTCCGTCGGCCGGTCGGAGACATCTCCCATGGTCTCCTCCGCCTCGGCCATGTGGGGCCATGGTCACAGCCGACGCCTGCCTCCGCCTTTCAGGGCGCGCTGCCGTCGCCTGGCGGGTCTCCGCCGGTCCGGGTCGGAGGCATCATCCGCAGCCTCCGCCGGCAGCATGGGGGCTAGGGTGGCAAGGCCATGGCGTCCCCCGGCACCCCAGCTTGAGTACCTGCACACAATTAGGCAAGATCGTTGTTTAATTAGTTTGGAGGTGAGGCGGCCTTCGCCCTCCTGGCCGGAGGTGCCCTCGTATCCTGCGGACTGCGCGGGTCTCCGCCACCCGTGGTGGCCATGTTACAACACAAATCAAAATGTTGCCAACTACAAAATTTCATAACTTCTCAAGATCTACAAAGTTTATTTTGGTCATTTGTTCATCCGACATGGTAGTAGTAACATTGTTCACAAATCTTATATATCTCTCTTTTACTTTCATAAAACTAATATGAGAGATATGAGAGATGTAGATTTTATGAACAACGTTATTGTCGCTTTGTCAAATAAAGAAATGACCAAAATAAACTTTGTAGATCTTGAGAAGTTATACAACTTTGTAGTTGAAAAGTTTTTCATTTGAATTCATTTAGGGCCTCAAAAATTATTTTGAAAAACTGATTTGCCGAGGGCCAAAAAAAATGCACACGGTAAAATGCCTCTTTGCCGAGTGCCAAAACAAAACACTTTCGACAAAATACATCTTAGACGCATTTTGTCGAGTGTTTTTTTTTTGCCGAGTGTATTTTATTTGGCACTCGACAAAGACCATCTTTGCCGAGTACCTGATAAAATATACTCGGCAAAGCCTCCGGCACTCGGCAAAGTGCCAGTTTCCGGTAGTGAAAAATGGCATCGATATTACTGTAACATTTGAAACGCAATAATCAAATCGAAAGCACATCGACAATGATTGAATACCATCAAAACCATACTAAAAAAACGATAAACACGTCAATCTACAGCTCATAGTTGGATGCATGTTACGTAGCAATAACAGTGCCAGTAGAAAGCAGAATACCAGATCTACTACTTCACAGATATAGGGGCCTTTGACAACGAAAGGAACAATAAACCTAACATATGGCTACAGTGTAAATGTACTCCTCCGTCTCTTAATATATGTTATTTTCATTTTTCGAGAAACAACTTTGACTAAATATATATAAAAATATTAGTATTTATGGTACATAATTAATATCATTAGATAGATATTTGAATCTAGTTTTTAATAAATTTATTTAGACATACAAATGTTGCATGTATTTTCTAAAATTTGAGTCAAAATTTGAGACAGAGGGAGTACAGCATTGCTAACGAAACTGCCAAAGAGAAGCAGTGCCAACAAGCAACAGACCATGACTGGCTACCAACGTTGGATCCGATGACGTACTGCCCTGATGGCTGACGCAGCATGTGAGAGGCAGCGAACACGTCACCTGACAAAAGTCAAAGTGAAACTTATGTTCAAGACAAAAGTCATGTGAAACACTCTTGAGCCGTGCATTGGAGCCAAGGTAACAACCTACTCTCTCTGTCCCAAAATATTTGTGTCGTTCTCGCTTTTCAATAAGTCAAGTGTTTTTAACTTTAACCAAACATATATATGAAAATGTTAACATTTATAGTAGATAATTAGTATCGTTAGCAGATCTTTGAATCCAGATTATAATAAACTTGTTTAAAGATACAAATGTTGCTAATACTATCTACAAATCTAGTCAAACTTAAGAAAATTTGATCGGCACGATACCATAGCGATACTTATTTTGGGACGGACGGAGTACCACGCAGGAATACCATAGCAATACAAAAATGTGTTAACAATACTAGCTACCCGGCTGCCCAACCGCCAGCGGCTCATGGGATCGATAAATAAAAGAACTAGAACATATTGCGCGTGTTGTTACGGAGATTGCGAAAAAATAATAATAAAATTAAGTAGAGATGACATGGATAACTTGCATTAAGAGGTTGAAAGTTAGTGGCATGACATGTCTATTAGTGAAAGATGATGTGGATAATTAGTGGAACATGATGTGAATGTCTTGTATGTTGAGATAGAACTTGAGATGACGTGGATAGCTTACATTAAGAGGTTGGAAGTTAGTGGTATGGCATGGATATTAGTGGAAGATGATGTGGATGTCTTGCATGTTAAGATAGAACTTGAGATGACGTGAACAGCTTGTATTAAGGGGTTGGAAGTTAAGTGGTATGACATGGCTATTAGTGCAAGATGATGTGGATGACTTGCATGTTGAGAAAGAACCTGATATGAGATGTGAATAGCTTGCATTAAGAGGTTGGAAGTTAGTGACATAACATGACTTTTAGTGCAAGATGATGTTGATATCTTGTATGTTGAGATAGAACATGTAGTGGGGATTAACTTTATAAAAGATATAAATATACAAGGCTCACGTAGATAGATTACTGATGATGTGTGCATTCGCGAGCTTATATATTAGACAGGGGATCTAGGCCGTCTTCTCCAAGCAGCTCCAAACCAGCGAGGTAGTAGCAGCCATCCTCTTCGACCCGGCCGTCCAATCCAGAGCCATCGAGATGACCACCAGCGGCCCCGTCCCACTGGTCTCGCAGGTGCAGCGCAAGCCACTGACATACACCCCAAGCCCATGGGGTGACTTCTTCCTCGAGCACATCCCATGCACTCCATCACAGGTACAAACAAGCCGGTCACCATTGTTCCCTTTCTGCAAAACTTGAACATGTCATCATTTTGCCAGCATTTCCGCATTGATGCAGTAAAAAATGGAGAAATCGTCAAAAAAGGGTTCTTGTGAACTAGACTTTTCTGATCCCCGTTAATAATCAAATTGTCCTTTGCAGTTCTTGTCAATGAAGGAGAGGGCACAGATCAAGAAGGAACAAGTGAGGCAGATTGTATTAGAAACCGTTGCCACCTCCAACCTGATACAGAAGATGGAGCTCGTCGACACGATGCAACGGATCGGGCTGGACTACCACTACAAGAAGGAGATCAATGATTTGCTTTGCTCTGTCTACGATGACAAAGATGGAGGCTCTGACAACCTCTACATCACCTCGCTGAGGTTCTATTTGCTCAGGAAGCATGGGTACGGAGTCACTTCAGGTATGTAAGATCGTCAACTAAGAACTAACCAGTATATGTTTCCTTTCATAGAGTTTTTTAGAAAATGGAAAAATTTCAGCCTCTTTGACTACATACAGCTAAATCTTACAATGTTTGTCAGGTTATTTTGCTGACTTCCTTTCATTTGAGCTGTGTTGACATATGCATGAATGAATGTTCAATTATGTGTGTGCAGGTGTGTTTGAGAAATTCAGGGATGAGCAAGGAACATTTCAAGTGATGATGTCAGCTGCTTGCTGATGTTGTATGATGCTGCGCATCTGAGAACTCGTGGGGAGGATATACTTGACAACATCATCACTTTCAACAAGAGCCACCTCCAATCTCTACTGCTGCTGGAAAATTTGGGGCCAGAGCAACAAGACGAGGTCCAGTGCACTTTGGAAACACCTCGGTTCAGGCGGGTCAGCAGAGTCGAGGCAAGGCGCTACATCTCAGTATATGAGAAGAAGACTACACGGGATGCGACCATACTGGAGTTTGCAAAACTAGACTACAACATCTTGCAAGCTATCTACTGTGATGAGTTGAAAGAACTTACAGCGTAAGGAAACCACACATTGGTATTAGTAAATTGGCGGTAATAATTTACTTAATGGAGTTGCTTACTTATTTCGCCAGCTAATAATACACATTTACTTGACAATGTATAGATGGTGGAAGGATTTCCAATCACGAATAGATCTGTGCTTTACAAGGGACAGAATGGTGGAGCTGCATTTTTGGATGCTCGGAGTGCTTTTTGAGCCTTATCACTCATATCCACGGCAAATGATGACAAAGTTTTACATAATCATGACCTTAATTGATGACCTTTATGACAACTACAGCACCACAGAGGAGAGCGATATATTCACTACGGCCATGGAAAGGTTTGCCTAGCTACTAGATATTATATGTTCTTAAAGTCAGATTACATGTAACTAAGATGAACAAAACTTATATATGCGTCACCGAAGTTTACCTTGCTTGAAAAAACTAATGACAGGTGGGATGAAGAAATCACAGAACAGCTTCCAACATACATAAAGGCACTCTTCATCAACATACGTAACACTACAAATAAGATCGAGGAGGAGTTAAGACACAAGAAAAACAAGCATGCTGAATTGTTCAAGAAACTGGTAAGCTGCTCCTAAAGATCACATTAAGGAAACATGATGAGTTTTCTCAATTAATTTTAACATCCTTATATTTAACTATTTAGGTGATTGACATGGCTAAAAACTACCATGCTGAGGTGAAATGGCGAGATGAACATTTCATTCCAACCAATGTTGAAGAGCACCTCCAAATTTCCTTGCCTAGCAGTGGTTGTATGCATATGACAAATCTTGGGTTTATTTCATTGGGAGATGTGACTACTAAGGAGGATGTTGAGTGGGCTCTCACCTTTCCAAAAATCATTAGAGGTGTCTGTATCGTGGGGCGTGTCGGCAATGACATCGTGTCGCATGAGGTTTAGAAAATCTCTCCATCTATACATACAAAATTCTTGTAAATGATAGTTGCAAAACATTTATCAGTAGTGTAAAGGTTATATATATTTAGTGCAATTAGACATTTGCCTTCTTTTATATTTTCTAACTATCCCTACTCGTTTGTCCCTTGAAGCGTGAACAAGCTAAGGAGCATGTGGTATCCACAGTGCAAACTTACATGAACCAATATGAGGTGACAGTAGAGGAAGCCAACAAAATGCTTAAAGTTATAATTGAAGAAGCATGGATGGATATTGTTGAAGAATGCATCGAGCACAAACGTCCTATGGCACTTTTAGAGGTAGCAGTCAATGTTGCCCAAACAATGGATTTCATGTACAAGAGTGAAGACGCATTCACCCTTTCATTTAGCCTCAAGAACACTATAGCTTCAATATATGTCAACTCCGTGTGAGCTTATTGATCCAGCATTAGTAACCAATACTTTTTTTAGCGTACGTGGGTGTGCTTAAGGTCTGCCGCCAAGGGTACCTTTTAACCCCAGACTATTGCTAGTATAAATAATACAATTCGCACAACATCTTGGACTCTATTTTTGGCTTTCGGCAGCTTTTAGCTTTTCCAATTAGGTGAAAATAGAGTGACGTTTACAGTTGTTTTAAGGGAAATAAAAGAGAGGAGGTATATTTCATAGTTGTTTTAACCTAACAGCTTATAGCTTGTTTACGTCACATCGCTCACAATAGCCTTTCCACAGCTTACAACTGAACCAACACTATGTGAAAAAGTCACATATCCACCAGCGACGCTATAGACGCCGCACAAAAGCACGTTTGTGATATGAATTTACAGACACGCTTTCCTGACGCGTCTGTAATAGTAAAGTCGCTGGGCGGTCGCCGGTCCAAAGAAGGTCAACGCTGCTGTCTCTAACAAGAGCTTACTACAGACGCTCGTTGGTAAAACGTGTCTATGATAGTGCTACAGACGCACTTTTATAACATGCGCCTGTAACTCTATCACATATTATTGATGCCTGTTATTTTACAGGCGCCTATTATGAACACGCGTCTAGAGCAATTGCCCTATTACGGACGCTTATATCTTTCGTACGCGTGTTGGAAACACACGTCTCTAGTGTTTGTACTTGGAGCAGACGCTTCCTATTCTATACGCATCTATAATTAGTGGCAGACGTGTTCTGACGGTGCTTCTCTGTAGTACTTGGCTTGCGGACTTAGCCATTGGCACATGCTAACGGACGGGCAGAGCGCTCAAGCGGGCGGTGGCGGGGGCCGCCTACAGCTCTCAGGCGGGCAGCGGCCGTGGTCATGCGCAACGCAGGCCTTCGGCTCTAAGACACTCGGAGCTCGTTGGCACGAGGCACAGGTGGGTGGCGATCAGAGGGCCGTGCTGCGCAGGCAAGCGACGGCCGGAGTGGCGCGCTGCACAAGCTGGCGGTGGCTGGCATGCTAAGCTCTCCTCCCTTGTCCTTGGCGTGCTTTGCTCTCTGGCCTCCTGGTCCCTAGCGTGCTCTGCTCTGCTTTGCTCTTCGCCATCTTGATCTTTAGTGGATCGTCGGTGTGCTCAGCTCTCCTCCTTCGTCCCGGCGTGCTCAGCTGATCTCGATCTACGTCCATCACAAATCGGTTCCATGAGCAGGTAGGTGACCCGGCGAGCTAATTCAGCTAAATAGCTAGTATCGTAATTCTTGTGTGACTATGAAACTCAACATATTCATGGCAGTAGGGGGCCACTGGCACACGCAGCATCTCTACCACCGATCACGCTAGCCAATCTCCCCCGCCGGCAGTGTTAGACATTGAGAGGTGAGCTAAATTTGTGAACTTGCATTACATTGTGAACTATGATGAGCTTGCGTTTGTGAAATTTGTGAACTTGCATTGTCAACTTGTAGCGAAACAAGTAGATTGACTTATATTCTTCCATTTTTAATCTTCTTTTCTAGACTATGTAGGATTAAGGCCACTGGATGTATCTTCTGAACCGTACTTGTGGATACTACTTAGATGGATTGAAATCTTTCCGTTGCAGAGGCGGATATGGTGAATTGATAGAAGTCATCTATGTGGTGCCCATGTGTTGACTGTGAGAATGAGAAGCAATACGCGAATTCGTTGTCAGTCCATGCCCACCTAATCATTCGAGGATTCATACATGACTACAGATGTTGGAACAAACATGGAGAAGAAGGTGTCAATGACCGAGACCAGGAGCAGGCTGCTGGTCAGCACGATGGTGCATCTACACTATTGTTCTTGTCACAGGCACGTCTTAATCTTGTCACAGACGCGTCTTGGCAACACGCATCTCTAGTAAGGGCTTACTATAGACGCGCGTTGACACCCACTAGTCTCTAGTAAGGGCTTATCACAGACGCTGTTCATTTATCACGATCGCGTTTTTGTAACACGCGTCTATAGTATATGTTTATTACAAACGCGCTTTTTTGCGTGACTCTAATAAGACCTTATTACAAATGCGTGCTCACAAGATCTGTGATATGTTTTTTACATATGCAATCAGACCCGTAAGATTAATTAAAATAAGGTTAGGCTAAATCTAGTCAAATCCAACATGATAGCTAGCTAATTATGTGCCTTGTGACTCCACAACGTGATATATGTATGTCTCGTTGCAACAGTGTGGATATATTTGTTGATCATATGGCAAACTTAAGAGAAACTTGAAAAAAAAAGTTCTGCTGACCGTTATTCGGCGAAGAGTGAGGTTATGGACGCGGATCGAGCAAGCTGAGGTGAGCGCCTGTTCGTGGTAAGAAGTAATAACATCGCGTCGCATCTGGAGTTTCTTTTTTCTTTAACTAGAATCATGCTCGTGTGTTGCAATAGAAATACAAAAAGGGAACAAAAATAATAATAACATGATATTTCATGTTCGATTGTGTGTCACACTATTAACAAAAAAAAATGATATTTCAAGTGTAATGTTCGTAACATTATGTTTTGTAGCCAAAATTTGCTATCCGACGTGGCCTGCCCCGTCTGGTCTCGCCCGTCCGCCTGCCTGCCTACAATAGGTCAGAGTTCCCCCCTGCACCAAGTGCACCCTAGGGCAGAGCTCCCCACCAGCGTCGAGCCCGCCCGTCACCTATGCCACCCACCAGATATCTCCAATTTCTAGGGATTGATGTATCCCAGGATCTAAAGGAATATTGCTCTTTAGAGACCAATTTCTAGGGATTGATATGTCCCCGGATCTAATTAGCTAGCTCCAGTTTAAATTTGCCCCACAACTCGCACTTAGTTGTTGTTTAGTTCGTTGATAGAAGCGGCAATGGGAATGTAATCAGCTGCCCCTGCTACATGTTACATGGGAACGAATCGCACGATCTGTTTGGTTTGCTTTAGAAGGGTTTCCATTTACGGTTGGAGAAGCAGGCCTGCGCATTCAGTCTGCAGTTGCCATGGATGAACGGGGTCTCGCCGCTCGCTCGCCCTTCCCATGCCTGGTGCTCGCTCCCTCGGCCTGGTAGTGTTGGCTGCGGTTCTTGCACCCTTCCGCGGCTGGTCGTTGTCGCCGCGGCCCCTCCTCTTGTGCATCTTTCTTCATCGCCCTGTTCGTTTGGGCTTGTTTGGCTTATAAGCCGTACTTTTTCAGCCAACGAACAGTACTTTTCTCTCACACCAAATCAGCCAACAGTACTTTCAGCCATGGCTTATCAGCCAAACAAGCCCAAACAAACAGAGCGTGTTAGTCTGCTGCTCGAGCTGCCGTGGCTCAGCACGGACCCCATCACGTCGCCATCGTCGTGGTGGTCGCGGGGCGCAGCGCCCCTTCCGCGGCCGGCCATGGCAAGGTCATCAGGGTTACCTCACTGGTTGCTGAGTTGCGACTCGCGAGGGAGAAGAACTCAAAGGAGAAGCCGAACGGAGCGGAGTCCAGATAACGCGCCCGAAGGGAGCGGAGTCCGGATAAGGGAGGGTCAGGAGTGGGATCGAGTTTGTACAAGCCTGTAACTGTTCACAACGTGACCGATTAGTCATTGGATCAACCAAATGTGAAGCAACGGTATCCATTCACGTCGTGAACCATTGACGGGCTAAAATGGCTCAACCAAACAGCACCTTATTAGTCATATGTACCCGTATGTGCTTTAAATCTACCAAATAACTAAAATAAGTGTACATGCCTTATTTTGCGGAGTTAACTAGTAATCTTAAGTTTAACCAAATATATATAAAATACTAATGTTTATTATATCAAATAAGTATTTTTATATTAATCGTACCATATATTTTCATAGTAAATTGATCTAGAGATAGAAATGTTGTTGATAATTTTAATAAATCTACCCAAACTTAAAATTAGTTGACTTCTAAATTATTTTAGGGTGGAGGAGGGACGACTATATATTTCACAAGTCAGACATTTGACACATCCAACACACATAGATGAGAAAAGGACAAAAAATAATGTAGCGACTCTTATTTTGTTTTGTTAGGATCATGGTCAGCAACAACTAGCATATAAGACAAATAGCTAGTTAGGGACGTACTTCCTCCAGTTCATTTTATAAGGTATAGCTTAACAAATAATTTGAAATTAAAACTCGAATTGTGAACCGAAAAGAGAACAAAAGTAATAAATCTTGGTAAGGACTAAATTGGACTAAAATTAAATAGTTGAAGTGACTAACTCAAACCAATAAACATTAGTTTAACAGGTTATCTAGACTACGCTAAAATTTTTGCGGGAGTCGAATGTAGTTAACGAGTTAGGAATTACCAGGGGTACATAGCTCACAGCTGAATCTGAATCTGAGTGAACTGAATCTTGCAGATGTGGATGTCTTGCATGTTGAGGTTAGAAGCTAGTGGTATGAAATAACTATTAATGGAAGATGATGTGGATGACTTGCATGTTGAGATAGAACTTGAGATGACGTGGATAGCTTACAGTACATTAAGAGGGTTGCATGTCTTGCATGTTGAGGTTGGAAGCTAGTGGTATGAAATAACTATTAATGGAAGATGATGTGGATGACTTGCATATTGAGATAGAGCTTGAGATGACGTGGATAGCTTACAGTACATTAAGAGGGTTGGAAGTTAGTAACATGACATGACTATTAGTGGAAGATGATATGGATATCTTGCATGTTGAGATAAAACATGAAGTGGCGATTAGTTTTATAAGAGATATAGATGTGAAATAAGTTTCTACGTTTGCAAAGAGACATGACACCCAAGGATAAGGACAAAACTAATCCAGTCATCTTTACGTGTAAAAAAAAAGATGTGAGATGTGAGAGACTAGGATGACTCACACATGTATAAGAGAGATAAAGAGGTACAACATGCAAATAGTGTGAGGTTTTGGACATTTTAGCGTTCATTTGGCCATCCAACTTTCCACGCACAACGATGATCCATAAGCTACATATATATATACCGTACTTTCCAGAATGTCTAGCCAAAACGTAGGTTCTAGTTCTATATAAAGCGCTAGACACCTTTCATAGCACAGCAGGAAGGCAGAAGCACACACACCACCGGCCTGAACCTCGCTTGGCTAGCTAGTAGCGACCATGAGTCACCTGCAGGAGGTGGCATACCAAGTCACCTCTTCACCGTTAGTTCTGGCACAATGTCTCCTATTGCTCCTCGTTCCTCTCCTGCTCCTGCTGCACTACTACGCCTCCCGACGGTCAAGGTCAAACCGCCGTCATGGCAGCAGCTGCAGCGACGACAAACAGCAGCTTCCGCCTTCGCCTCCGGGGCTGCCCATCATCGGCCACCTTCACCTCATCGGCGACCTCCCGCACGTCTCCCTCCGTGACCTCTCCGCCAAGCATGGCCGCGACGGCCTCGTGCTCCTCCACCTCGGCGCCGCCACCACTCTCATCGTGTCATCCCCGCAGGCTGCGGAGGCGATCATGCGCACGCACGACCATGTGTTCGCATCGCGTCTCGTGTCCACGGTCAGCGACGACCTCATGTACGGGTCCTCCGACATCGCCTTCTCCCCCTACGGCGAGCACTGGCGGCAGGCCAGAAAGCTGGTCACCACGCACCTCCTCACCGTCAAGAAAGTGCACTCGTACCGTAGTGCCCGCAAAGAAGAGGTGCACCTTGTGCTGGCCCACGTACAGGAGGCAGCGGCGGGCGGGCACAGCCGTGGACATGGGCATGATGATGAACATGTTCGCCAATGATATCGTGAGCCGCGCCGTGACAGGCAAGTCCTTCCGGGCAGAAGGCCGGAGCAAGCTCTTCCGAGAGCTGGTGGAGGCCAACTCTGCTCTGGTTGGAGGGTTCAACCTGGAATACTACTTCCCCGGGCTGGCGAGGTCGTTAGGTTTCCTTAGCAGAAGGTTTCTGCGCAACAGGGCCCACGAGACGCACAAGAGATGGGACGAGCTGCTTGAAACCATACTGAGCGACCACGAGAGAGAGACTCTATGATGCTTCACCATGACGGAGGTGACTTCATCGATGTGTTGCTCTCCGTTCAGAAAGAATATGGTATGACCAGAGATCATGTTAAGGCCATATTGGTGGTGAGTACCGTAGTATACCCAACAGACAGAATCGATCCTCTCATTTATATACGTCCTGAACTACATATTTGATGATAACTAGGACATGTTCGGTGCGGGCACAGACACGTCATCCTTGGTCCTGGAGCTCGCCATTGCCGAGCTGATGCGCAACCCACAGCAGATGGCTAAGCTACAAGGTGAAGTGAGAAAGCACACACCAGAGGGACAGGAAACGGTGGAGGAAGAGAACCTACCTAACATGCCCTACCTGAGAGCCGTCGTGAAGGAGACATTGAGGTTGCACCCGCCTGCCCCGCTCCTCGTGCCTCGCCTCTCCATATGGCGGACTGCGTCGTCGATGGCGGCTACTATGTCCCCTCCGGCACCAGGGTCATCCTCAACGCATGGGCTCTTGGCAGAGACCCGGAGTCATGGGAGAAGCCGGAGGAGTTCATGCCCGAAAGGTTCATGGACGGTGGCAGCGCTGCGGCCATCGACTTCAGAGGGAACCACTTCCAGTTCCTGCCGTTCGGAGCTGGACGAAGGATCTGTGCTGGCATCAACTTTGGGATGGCTACTGTTGAGATCATGCTAGCAAACCTCATGTACTGCTTTGACTGGCAGCTGCCCATCGGCATGGAGAAGGGTGTTGACATGACAGAGGTGTTTGGAGTGACGGTGCATCTAAAGGAGAAGCTCATGCTTGTTCCCGTTCCCAAACTTCGTGCTACTTCTGGTCACTCCATGCAAGCTGCTGAGGAAACGTCTATGAACTACAATCTACCCAGATTGGACCGGATGTAGTATGGTAATAAATAGTGTCTTCTAATAACTCAATCCGGAATCTGGTAAAAATAAGTGGAATGGTATTTTAATTTGAAGGGAAAAAAATCTCTGTGTTGTCGTCAAGATTTCCTCACATATGAAGTGCTTTCGTCGTAGAGACTTAACTAGCTGGGACCTAAAGATTAGGGATGAAAGCGGGAACGGGAAATTCCCGTACCGACCGACACCGAATACCGGAATTCCCGACCAGATATCATTTTCTCGGGAAAAAATGGATTCGGGAAGAAATCCGGGAAAATTCGGCGAATCCGATATCGAAATCAGTTAGAGTGATTTCCCGACCAAATTAGCGGATCCCATATTTGTCCGGTAAACCTCCCGCGGGAAATTCCCGTTTTTCCCATGGAGCAGCAAGGTTTGGCCCAGGAAGCAAGGTTTGGCCCCGGAAGAGAGGAGGGAGCTGACGAGTCATGCATGCGGCCCATCATTCCATGCTTGGCCCAGGATTTCACGCATGGAGCAGCAAGGTTTGGCCCTTTGTTCATTTTTCTTTTCCATTTTCTTTTTTTGGTAGTTCTGTAGTTTTCTTTGCATAAATATTCTGACGAGCTCACTGTTTGCTATTGTTTGCATATAGATTATGCATGGTTGCTATTGTTGCATCGGGCTCACTGTTTCCGGTGGTTACATATATCGATGTTTCCGTTTTGTGTTACCACTTCCCGATCATAATCGATGCGTTCCCGTTCAAAATATTCCATTCCCGATATCCCGTAATACCGGATTCGTTTTCCCGTCTGGCCTTCCCGTTCCCATTCCCGGCCAAAAAATACAGGAGCAGGAATGGTTAAGATATTTTCCCGACCGTTTTCATCCCTACTAAAGATGGTCAAATGGGTGACACGACACTAGCACTATTTGGCGCGGCCGGCACTAAGGAGCTGTTTGGTTCGCGCTTTTCAGCCCCGCATCGATTAATAGCGTGATCAAAGAGACAACCTTGTTTCGCGTTTGGATGGCCCGGTCCGTAATAGATGACACCGTGAATGGATCCGACCTATACACAACCACTCCCCCTCCTTGATCTCCTGCCGTTATCCGCTCCTGACTCGGGAAAAAGAAATTCCCCCCACCCCCTCCCCGGGCACGCTCCTGGCTTGTAACACATGGCTTTGTTGATCACAGTTCTGAAGCCAACCAAATGTCGCTTTCAGTTCCCCAGTAACAATTTGCGGCTGCAACTGCTCCCATTACCATTGCCGTACACAGCACTTAACCAAACAGCAAGCACGGCTTTCTTAATTTGTCATACTGTCTCCAACAACCGTGACACAAAATACAAGACCCATTCGTCCTTTGGGTAGCGCTACAGGCAAATGGTTCAATATATATTTTTGGTCTTCTCCAACAACAAGACTCAAAAGACAACCCTTTCGTAAATGGGTCTCCGGAGAGATGATACTCAGATTTAGGTTATGCCTCTCCGGCACCTAAAATGAGTCTTCCATATAGGTAGTCTGTTGGAGGCTATAGGTATTATGTTGGAGATCCATTTTGAAATTGGGTTCTGCAATGGGTCTCGTGTTGGAGGCAGCCTCACGTGAAGCTATTGCCCCAGTCAGCTGTGTGGCTTGGTCTTGATGACAAATTTCTTGGCAACAAGGAGGCCTGGTCTGCCAACACTGTACAGCCCATCAACCGTCACCTTTCAAGTCTATTCTGGCCCGGCTCGCGCGTGGCCCAACGCCAGGTCTTCTTGGCCCTCGACCTCAAGCGTCCGCTGCAGCCGAGCGTTCTCTGCCATTGCTTTTGGTTGGGATCAGCAGCAGCCTGCAGCTCGCGAACTCATTGAACACGATGACGCTCATGGCTCCCTCCCTCCAACACTGGCTGTGTGGTACACATGATTTGGGAGGGTGGTGATCTCTCTATATCACCTCACACGTCTCCTCCTGACATAATTGTTGGCAACGCTTTTCTTCTCTTCTTCTGGTCTTTTCAGTTGGCACTACATCTTTGCCTACTACGTACTCATGCTCCTTTCTTTACACCTTCGCGATGCTCTTATCTCCCCTCAAATTATTAGGTAGCACTTCTGTGATCTTCCATGTAATCAGAGTGACCTGGTTAATTGCATTATTGCGATATTTGGACATCTCCTATTTCCAGTGTCTCGGGTTAATTACAAGTATTATCTTGTTATTTTAATTGACCACTCTCACTTTTTAGGGACATATCCTCTCCGTTTGAAGCCTGACACATCTCGCTCGGCACAGCCCAGTGGTCACGGGTCGCCATGGCTTGTCAGGTGCAGCGGGCCGTGTCATGCCAGCCCACGGACAGCACCAATGGCCCAGGCACGGCCCTAAAGGCCTCGTGCCGTGTCGTGCCGGTCTGACGGCCTGACTGGCCCAATGTGCCAGAGACGGCCAAGGCACGAGCTGCTACGCCGCCGTCGCCGCGGGGGGAGCTGCTGCGCCGCCACGGGCGGGAGCCGCTGCTGAACCGTCGTTGTGCATTGGGAGCTGCTGCGCCACCGCTAGGCTCTGGTTGTCGAGCGCAGGTGAGTGTGTGTGTGTGTGTGTGTGTGTGAGAGAGAGAGAGAGAGAGAGAGGCAGAGCCGGGATGGGAGGCGGAGAGGAAGCGTCTAGATGGGAGGCGTAGAGGCGATGCCAGGATGGAGAAGGGCATGCACAGCCTCACGATGGGTATAACGGTGACCGCGAATAAGAGCTGCGGAGTGGAGGAGTGCGTCACGGAAGTTGGGAAAGAATGTTGGGTTTACTGATTGAGAGATAAGGGTGGCTTACATGGGCCTTCACTGGCCTACAACTTATTGGGCCAGGCCGGGCCTGCACGCCATTCCGAGGGTGCAGCCCAGGCACGACCCTAGGGTCGGGTCAGCCCGGCCTGGGCCCGACGGCCACCAGGGCATGCCATGCTTAGGTTGGGCCGTGGGCAGGCCATCGGGCCTAGTGCCTTATGGCCAAGTATACATACATGTGATATCATTGATTTTATATTTTAGGTGTGCGGGTGCTGCACCGCGTGCCCAACATCACAGTTATGTTGATACAGTGAAACTGAAAAATGAAACCAAGGCATCTAATAATCAGACTACGGATGATTGCGATGATGCATGCGTGAACAACGTCTAAAATTCAGAGGACATATATACATATACATAAATATATATGTCGTTGTCATGTGGAACACGTGGAAAATATGTCTTCATCACGTGTATTTGCCACAAGTGGACAAGAGAAATTGTAGTCCTGGACCATCAAGGATGATTGTCTTCATCACGTGTATTTACCAACTTCCAATGATGATTGTCTGGATTCCATCGGCTTTGAACAATCCTTGCTGATCACCTTCTATTGGCGTCATCGACCCGAATACTTGATTTTCGGTTAAGTAACTGTTTCCTGAGCTGATGACAACATCTGCAGCTTGATCAAATAGCCGATACGTTACGCCTTTGAATATAGGTAGGTCCCGCCTCTTTTGTGCTTCAATCGGATACTGCTGTCAAGCACCGTGCTTCAGACTCCAAGCATCAACGTGGCCATGTGCACATGTGTGGCATTCGGACTTTATCTCTTGTACTTTTTAAATAATCTCACATGCAACTACGTAACTGGTAGGCAAAGAAGTCAATTCTTCTTCAACTTCCTTCGTACGTGAATTCCAGCTTGCCTCATAATAGTGTCGAATACTTTTCAATATTGGAGCTAATCCCAGACTTCTCAAATGATTGTAATTCCACCGTGAACAAGCTTAGGTAATAAGCCGATAGAATATGCTTAACCAGAGCAAAAATCCATCCATCGGCTATCCTTTGTTATTACCTCCATCGGCTATTTATCGTATCAAGAAACAATAGCCGATAAAAAGAATTCAAGATATAACCAGAAGCTACATTGATATCCATTGAGGGCTACCGGCTTTAAATTATAAATGCTCATAGCCAATAAGGTCATCTCATGATGGCTTCTCAAAGTACTACCACCAATTTTCCAAAAATAGAATCTTGCAACTTCTACTGCTAGGAATTCTATTAACAGCAGCCCTGGCAATATATTTTCAGAAGACATTGGTTAATATTCATACCTCATTGATCACATTGGTTGTGCGTACGCCAAACTGTAAATAGCCGAGACGCTGATATTAGCTGGCATCTCTTTAGACCACCTTTGTAGAAGTATCGGCTGCCTAGATGACTGTTGTGGACTTCTACTGCCGATATTCTCCAAGCCGATATCCCTCTTCGGGCTTTTAAGAAGAATCTGATTACTCCACTATATCGACTAACACGCTCTCTACTCAGCCGATACTTTTGAATGTGGCCCAGGATGGCTTTTTGCCGTCCAGTGCCTGCTGCACAGAGAGACCCTCTAGCTTGTTTTTCGAGGTGTGTTTCGGTGATGATATACTCATGTGGTCACCATACTTGCTCGGGCCAAGACTACTTCTAAAATCTAAATCCCTTGCTAGTTTCTTCTGAAATTAAGCCAATAGCCGATTCTTCTCCTCAACAGCCGATTCCTTGTACCAAAATTATAATAATCATTAATCTGATCTCTGGACCTGCCCCTGGATCCTTATCAAGCTGATGAAGCAACTTGAAGTCATTCGCCAAGAAATTTAGCGGCTATTGCAATATGGAAATCGGCTCTTCAAGGCTGCATCGGCTTAGCGAGCAAGACTTTGGACCCTAGCCGATTCCACTTTCAGACAGCCGATCTCCATCGGCAAGCTTCCATAAATATCACTTTTATACTGCTTGCCCAATGAAAAATTCCATCTAGGAGTTTCTCCAACATGTGCTTGAGCACACCATATCTGATTTGATATATATGACCAATATAGCCCCTTTCCATCTGCTCCGATCCAAATCAATGTACGATATAAGTCTTCTTTAAGCTAGTAGTCTGACCAAGCCGAGTGAATATCTTTGTGTGCGCTCAGCCAAATAGTTCTTTGAGCGGTGGAGTACAGGAGCAGTAGCTTTTGAT